TGATTCTAATACCAGTAATTTAAAAGGGCTTCAAAAAAAGATCAAATCCCAGGAGTTAAAATTGTAACAGTGACTAATATTCATTGCTTGTTAGTTTCCTGCTGTGAACTACTCCTTAAATACATTATCTAGTTTAATCTTCACCTACGAAGATTGGGTTTTATTAGAATCTAATGAGTTGGGTCATATCAGAATGACCTATGAGTTGAGTNGTCATGATATATTAAACAAAATGGGCTTAATCTATAGGCAGTTGGAAGAAGTAGATGTTAAAGTTTTGAGCAGAGGCATAAGATACAAACTGTTCTTTCATTCGTCTTCACCTACTTTGTCCCATACATCTACCTTCTCTCGATGCCATCTTCTCAAGCAAATCATCTTGTTTTCCTGTCTCTTCAAAATGCTGTGTGATAAGATCTCATTAGGCTGGACCCAGAGAAGGTGGACACTGAAGATTTTCCTCCATTGCTTTCTCATAGTCATTTACATCTACCAGGAATTTATTTCTGAATGCTGCTCTGAGTATATTGTCTGGATATCAGTAGGACTAACCTGCTTAATTCTGTTACTATATTTCCACTTGTGACCAGGAACTATAGGCTTTTAGAGAAGCAATTGTTAAATTGCACTTCACCCTTCCTTTTATGATAGCATATGACTCTTTGAAGAGCTGGTTTGCATCTTTAATAAAGCATAGAGAGAAATTAGAACCAAGAAAGTAGTTAATATATTCAATATAAATATATGCAAATATAAATAAATATAAAATATTTTAATAAATTTCCCTTTGCTTTGCATAAGGAAGACAGCAAAGGCTCCAGGAAATAAATAAGCATTTTTCTGAAGTCATTTTACATTTTTGATTAATTAATTTATTTATTCCTTAATAAGCATTTATTAAGCTTATGTGACAGGAACTACACTGGTATCTGAAGAAACATACTCTACACTCAATCTGCCCTCAACGAGACCATAGTCTGTCTCTGGTAAGGTCTCCCAGGGAGATCTCTCTCCCTCCTTGTTCCTTACTTTTTACAGATAAACCTCTTACCAATGTGACTTTGCTATTTCATTTCGCCCACTAATGTCTCAAATAGCTGGGTTCTAGAAGGAGAATAATTGCAAAGAGAATTGCTATCTCTTTTTCTGTTACCATTTAAGCAATGAGAAGAATTGGCAATTTCAGTTTTAATTAAGGTAGTTATTCAAGACCCAAAGAGGCAGCTACAGAACATTCTCTGTTCCTTTGATGGAGCACAATACAAGGAAACTCACAATGGACTGAGTTGAGGTTCATACTTCAAAATTCAAAGGGATAAAAAGCCTTCCAGCGATGTAAAGAACAGAGTTCCTTACCTCTTTTGGAGGCAAACATTAGCAGGGAGCTTGATAAATTAATTACTTAAGGAGGACAGGAGACAGGTGGTGACTTGTGGGAGGGCAAAAGCAGTAGAAACCTCAATGAGATCAAAAAGCCTGGGTCTAAGACTGAGAAAGAGAGAAAAATTGGAGTTGTAGCAAGATGGACGTGAGATTTCAGATAGGGGGAGTTTGAAGACATATGAATGTAATAAATACAAAATCAATATAGATCATTTGTAGAAAGTGTGAGAATGACAGAAAAAATATGAAATTAGCCCTAATCCCAACTTGCAAAAGTAAATTACTCTGGACATTTCGGTGTGTTTTCCCCCAGTCTTTTTTTTTGCAAAACACAGTCAGGATCATATCGTATATTATATAAATCATGCCCTCTCACTGAATATTATATAAAATAAACAGTTCTCATTAAAATTTTGACAGAAAGGTTTGAAACCAAAAATAGTAAGAAAAAGCAACCCAGCACAGTTAGTTTAGCCTTCCCTAATGAGGCTATTTAATATTCATTCCTAAACTTTGTGCAATGGAAATATCAGTCTATCAAAGTGTATCATTTTTCCAGATCAAAGGAAGATTTTTTTTAGGAGCTCCTTTGCTCAAACCCCTCTTTCTGCACTCCCCACTTCCAACACACACATACACATACACACACACACATACACACTCTCTCTCTCTCTCTCTACACACACACACCATGAATCTTTTCCTTGTCTTTGCACTAACTTTCCTTTAAAGCAGATGGTGCTTGAAATTTCCTTGGCCCCTCACAAAGCTGTTCCTCTAGCAACCTTCCATAAAAGACTGATTTTAAAACAAGCAAAGATGTTCTTTGAATCTCCTGCTAGTCAATCTGGCAGTCCAACCTAAAATGTTTCTAATTAAAATAAAAGTAATCAACTTTACAACGAGATAGTTTAATCATAGCTCTACTGCAGGGGTTAGGGTGCAAGGGTGTTAGAAATAATACTAAACTTCTTGTTCTTTTAGAAAAAATAATACTTTCTAATGAGGTGCAAAAATCTTGACTCATTTCTAGTTCTAGCAGATGTGTCCTTGCCTCCTGCCAGGTTGCAGGTCAGAGAGTGGTTTGGAAAATCAGAGGTCAGCAGAAAGAAGTGGTTCTAGGAAATTGAAGGTGTTACCTATGCCTGAAAGTATGAAGTAGAACTGAAGGCCATTAATTCTTTCACCTAGTCTTCCTGATCATGAATTGAATTAATGATCACCTTTCAAAAATATTTCTGATTCTAATACCAGTAATTTAAAAGGGCTTCAAAAAAAGATCAAATCCCAGGAGTTATAATTGTAACAGTGACTAATATTCATTGCTTGTTAGTTTCCTGCTGTGAACTACTCCTTAAATACATTATCTAGTTTAATCTTCACCTACATTTCTGATTCTAATACCAGTAATTTAAAAGGGCTTCAAAAAAAGATCAAATCCCAGGAGTTAAAATTGTAACAGTGACTAATATTCATTGCTTGTTAGTTTCCTGCTGTGAACTACTCCTTAAATACATTATCTAGTTTAATCTTCACCTACAAAGATTGGGTTTTATTAGAATCTAATGAGTTGGGTCATATCAGAATGACCTATGAGTTGAGTTGTTTCAGAATTTTAACTGCATGTGAACAAAATAGAACAATCCAAAAACATCCTCCAGGCAAGTCATTTATTGCTATTGGTTTCAGTATGCTCATCTATATAGCATCTGTATAATGAGGCTTTGTGGAGACAGTCTCTGAGGTTTGTTCTAGATCTTCATTTGGAGTTAAACTCACACTGAGTTCATCTTATATAACTGAGCATTTCTTCAATGCGTGCATATTGAGCTCACACAGAATACGCAGTGTTTTTCTTTCTGGAAAGATCATTATGGCACATTAAAGAAGGCAGCATATTTTTTGCTTTTCTTCTCACTCAGAGTAGAACCCAATTTCCCTCTTTTTGCTTTAGATGAATTCAGGCCTAGTTACTGAACACTCAAGAGAGACTTATAGTGGGAATCGCCTGGCTAAACCCAGCCAATCTATAAAAAAACATGAGAAATAAAAATAAATTATAGTTTTAAGCTTCTGTTTCCAGGCTAGTTTATTATGCACCCATACATTCCTGTTATTGTCCTTGTAGCATGCACCACAAGTAAAATCAAAGAGCATACAATAGTAGCTCAATTTATTTGAACTTTTGAGAATTTTGAAATTTCTGCATCTTTCTCTTTTTCATCTGTTTTTATTTGGATCCTCCACCTGATTCAGAGTTGAACTCAAAACCTTCAAAACTTAGGAAGAAACAGACACTTATGCTGTGCATCTGTTCAGTAATGTGTTACATCATCCAGGAGGAACTTAAGGGTTTGAATCAGGGAGCAGTGGTAAAAGGAGGAAAGGAGATTGTTCTGAAAAATGTGTTCACCTGGCTCCTGGTCCTATTTTGGCCACTGCAGTTTGGGCTTCTAAAAGTTTCTTCACTTCTTTGGGTATCAGGTACCTTCTCTTTCAGATACAGTGTTGATTTATGTGATCTCAAGAATTCTTGGTTGCACTGAGCGTCACTGCCTTGGATTGAGTGTCCCCGCAAAACTTAATTCCTGCTGTTACTGTTGAGGATGGGAAATCCTATTATGGTAATTAAAAGGTGGGGCCTTGAAGAGGTGATTAGATTGTAGGATCATGCGGTAGCGAATGGATTAAAAATGGTGGCCATAGGCGTGGTTTGGAGGACTTTAAAAGGAGAGTGAATGAGGAGGTTAGTGTCTCTCTCTGCCCATCATTTTCACAATGTGATACCCTGCTGTCACTGTCATCACCATGCCTTCACCAAATGTGTTCCCTGAACTTTGGACTTCCGAGCCTCTGAAACTGTAAGCAATACATTTCATTTTCTCTATAAATTATCTAGTTTTGTGTATTTTGTTATAAGCAGCAGGAACAGACTAATACACTTAGTTTCTTTTATAATATTAGAATAATAATATTCTACCTACCATAAAGGGCTTTTATGAGGATTATATTGAGTATCATGGGTCGTGTTTTTCAACACTTGTTACTTCGTAGGTACTAAATAGCCCAATATCACTATTAGAAATGATTTAAGGTCTGAATAGCTGAAGCAGAAGAGAATTCAGTGCAATGCACTAGACATCTAACATAGTTTCTCTGATAAAACATACCACTGACTAAAGCTGAGGGGGCTTTCCTCCTCCCCCCATACTTAAGTTTAAGAACGAAAGATGAAAACGTCTTTGCAGCATTCCTCTCTGAACAGAGACCAACTTTGCCCTTCCTTGAAAGTGCCATTGTTTACAAACCAACTTTTAGGAAATTAATGTTGATGCCCAGGTGTGGCATTAGTAGCAGTTCTAGAGGTTTGCTCCGATTTATTTATAATCTTTAAGAAAAGTCCTCCTCTCCCATGTCTAGCAAACCCAGCACAACGCCCACCCTCACTGCGGCACTGGACGCGCGGGGGATGCGCGGTTATTCCAGGAGTAGCCACTAAGGGGAGCCGGACGCTGGACCGCCCTCCCACGTTGCCATGACAACGCCATCGGCGGGCGCGCTGCGTTTGGAGCTAAGTGCCGACTAAAGCAGGTGTCGGCTTGCAGCGCGCTCGCGGCGGCTCCGGGATCCCTCGGAGCCTCGGACAGCCCGGCTACTGTTTCTCCATCTCCCTCTCGGACGCTCCCTAACGCGGCGGGGACGCGCAGGGTGAAAATGGTTCACCATTCAGGCTCGATTCAGTCCTTTAAACAGCAAAAAGGTCAGTTGGCATCTTGCTTTCCCCTCCCTGCGGGCGTCCTTTCCCCGTCTGCATGCTCTTGCAGTTGTATAGGAGCATCCTTTGCCGGCTTATGCGACACAAAGGTGGGCACCTCTGAAGTTAAATTTTTTGTTTGTTTGTTTAATGCCTCTTTGCTCTGCATCGTAGATGAGTCTCATTTTCTGAGCCTCCGCACGGTGGCTAGGAGGAGCGGAATTCGTCATTTCAGGACTTGATTGAATGTATATCTCTGCTAAGACTGTTCGAATGCACTGCAGAAAACCGGCTTAGCAGGGGTTGTCCCAATAGCCCAATAGCGCTCTGATGTTTGAAGACAGAAATGTTGGACGATGTTTGACCCAGTTTGAGAT